CCTCCTCCTTCCTGCCTCCTACCTCCTGCCGTCTGCACCCAAGGTGACCTCGCAACTCCCTGGGGGGCTGCGACCTGCGCAACCGTCGCCATTTTCGTCGGCTATTGGGAGGTGCAGCAGAGTCGGGGAGTACGCGCCCAGGCGGGACCTCGCAGCTGCCTTCGGGCCTGCGGACTGCGCACCTGTCGCCACTCTCGTGGGCTCCTGGGAGGTCCAGAGGGATCGCGGAGGACGCGCACCGAGACGGGACCTCGCTGCTCCCTGGGTGGCCGCGGACTGCGCAGCCGTCGCCACTCTCGTGGGCTCCGGGGAGGCACGGCGGAGGCGGAGGCCACGCGCCTCCAGCCGGGACCTCGCTGCTCGTCGGGCGACATCGCCTTTGGCGCAACTGTCGCCACTGCCGCGGCCTCCTTGGAGGCCTCGCGGCGTCGGAGGCCACGCGGACCCAGACGGGACCTCGCTGCTCCCTGGGTGGCTGCGAACTGCGCAGCCGTCGACTTGCGCGGACTCCTTGAAGGTCCAGCGGCGTCGGGGGGGGGGGGCACGCGGAGGAGCGCACGGTGCCTCGCTGCTCGACGGGCGACATCGCCCTGCGCAACCGTCGCCGCCTTCGTGGGCTCCTGGGAGGTCCAGCGGAGTCGGGGGCCACGCGGACCCAGCCGAGACCTCGCAGCTGCCCGGGTGGCCTCGAACTGCGCAACCGTCGCCATGTTCGTGGGCTCTTGGAGGACCAGCAGGGTCGGGGGCCACGCGCACCCACACGAAACCTCGCGCATCGCTTTGTTGCTGCAACTTGCACAACCGTCGCCACTTTCGCGGGCTCCTGGGAGGTCCAGTGGAGTCGGGAGCCACGCGCACCCAGCCGAGACCTCGCAGCTGCCTCGATTGCGCTGACTCCACCACGCGGGAATTAATGCTCGACGGGGAACTCCTGCCTGTACTCCCGGAAGCAGACAGCTGCTATGCACGCACAGGCACGAGTCTCCGCATGCGTACGCGCACATATGCAACGTGTAAGCACGCTGCACGGCGTGAGCAGCTCTGCGCATGGCTGGCGCCGAACAATTGCGCACACACATGTGATGGGACAGTGGCTGGTCGGCCGTCTTGGGAGCAACGCGCGAGGCCTGGCTTTGCCTGTGCAGCACCTCCCTCATGTACTCGGCCTGGTGCACGGCCGGCTCCACGACCTTCTCAAAGCTCACCTGGGCGACGATCAAAAACGGGTCTTACGCAAGATGACGCAGCGACCTCACCGCGGGCAGCTTACGCGGAGCGCTAGCGCGGCATGCTGCGCTGGAAGCGAGGGCACTCACAAGCGACCTTACGCGGGCAGCTTGCGCGCCAATGTCGGCGCAGACAGCCCCGTTTTCTTACAGTAGGGGCTCGACCACAAGAAACCTTCCACAAGAAACCCAACCCTGAGAACCCAGACCCAAGGACGTCTATTGACTGTTGGTGTGGGAACGTCCCGCTTTCCTCAGCAAAACCATCGAAACCCAAGGAACCCAGGGCACCCTGGAGGCGAGCAGGGTGCTTCCTGGCATGGGCCTCCACTGCAATTCGCTCACCTAGAGGCCAAAGTCCCCCACAGCCACCGAAGCCTCCCTGGGAGTCCCCCACAGCCACCGAAGCCACTCTTGGGGGTAGCCTCTCGCGGGCCTCCTCTTGGGGCCGCGTGCGGGCCTCTCGGGGGGCCTCTTGGGAGCGCCTCCTTGAGGGCCTTTCTTGGGGGGAAGCCTTCGTGCAAGCCACGGCTACACGGAACTACGTTGCCACGATTCGGGCTGTTAGGAGGCAACTGCCAGCAGGTCTTTTTCGGAAGGACAGAGGAGAACTAAGCCCCATAGGGGGGGCTGCTACGCCAGATCAGGCCGCAGATCAAGCGGGATTGGGCCGGATCAAGCGGGACTCAGCTGGCTTAAGCGGGATTGAATCGGATTAAACCGGATTTCGGACCAGGGCAATGCCAGAAATTTACCTCCCAGGAGCTGCATCCGAAAGGATGCCTTCTGGGGGGCACCTGGAGGCCATCTTGGTGGGGCTCGGGACCGTCTTGGTTCCGTCTTGGTGCCGTCGACGCGCAGTGCCGCCCTTGTCGGGACGTCCACCCCCTTGGGACTGGCCAGGAGGGTTCGCGGGAGCCCTTTTGGCAAGGCTAGGAACCTTCTTCATATCACCGAGATGGCGCGATCCACAGCCGCTGGCACGAAAAAAACCGAAGAGAGGGGGCATCAGAAACCAAAGAACCCAACCCGCTCACCCCCCCCCCCCTCTATCCCCCCCTCCAAACAACCGGGAGGCCTTGACCCCCCCCCCCCGCGCAAGGCGGGAGGGGTGGTAACGACCGCCCCCAATCGCCGTCGTCGCCGTCGCCGTCGTTGTGGTTGCGGTCCCCGGAATCGTCGTCGCCGCCGTCGTCGTCGTCGTCGACGCCGACGCAACCACGGGTCCGAACGGAATCACGATCAGGTCACGTCCACCACGGGCGAGAGCCAGATCCCAATTAGGTCACGTCCACCACCGTCGCAGTGGCCGCCGCCTCCGTCGTCGTCGTCGTCGTCGTCGTCGTCGTCGTCGTCGTCGTCGTCGTCGGCGTCATCATGGTCGCTGTCGCGGTCACCGTCGCCGTCGTCTTGGGGGGCGGCGGGGGTCTGGACCCCCCCTCAATAGTTTCCCGCGGGGGAGGCGGGGGTTGTCGTTTTGAGTGTCGGTCGGGAGGGGGAGGGTTGAACCCCCCCTCGCCCCCTGCCAACAACGTCAGGAAACACTCTTTCACATCGCCCGTCCCTCCTCCTGCTCGTCCTCGCTCTTCCTCCCTCTCCTCCTCCTCCTCCGCCGCCTTCTCCCCTTCCTCCTCCCCTTTCTCCCTGCCCCATCGCCCAAAGCTTCTCTCCTTCGTCCTTCCCCCTCCTCCTCCTCCTCCTCCTTCTTCCTCCTCTACATCCTCCTCTCTCCTCGTAATGATCATTATCCACAGTCGCATCCTCCTCATCACCATTACCTCAAACAACAATTTCTGCATCATGCTCGCCTTCATCCTCAGCGTCATCCTCCTCCTCATCATCAGCATCATTTTCATGTTGATCACCATCAGCGTCGTCATCACCATCATCATCAGCAGGAGCATAACCTAACCATCATCATGGTATTGGTTCTCCTGAATATGCACAGGGCGTTCGTGTAGCGTGTCTTAACCCGGTGTGTTGGAGATGTGTTCGCGTTTTTGTTCAGTCCCAGCAAGGTCTTCGAAACAAAAAAAGCAAGCAACCATGAACATGTCCTTCTTGCGTTTTCACTGCGTCTTATAATATGCTAACACCGGTTGGTTCAATGGTTGAACATTGACGTTGTCGTCTACGGCGTCCTCAGTTCCTTCTCCTGGCGTGCAGTCCTACCTATACTTATGGTATAAGTATGATTGCTGTTCCTTCTGCTCTTCTCTTGCCCTCGCTGCTGGCTAGGGCGTCGGTCGGGCCTCCAGGCCCGATGGCCGACTGCCCACCCTGGAGCCATCAGGCCTCCTGGCCTGTTTCGGGCCGGTGTTGGACTGGTGTTAGCGATTTGTTCTAGCGCTCCTAGCTCTGAGAGGGAGAACGGCGGCAGAAACAAACAAGCGGGAGCGAAGGCAGCAGGGAAGACAAGAAACAGGCTTGCGACCAGAAAGCAAAACGCGCAAACAAAAATGTTGATCCTCAGCGACTGGCCAATTTACAGTGAGAGAAGCGGAGCTGAACACGCTAAACGGTCGTAGCGTTTTTGTTTGCGTTACTGGCTGGTCAAGAGCCCACAATGCAAGACGGTAACCCAACAACGCCCTGGGCGTTTTGGAAAAAAAAACAGGGTCATGATCACACTCATCATGATCATCATTATCATCTTTCATCGTCATCATCATCATCATCATCATCATCATCCTCATCATCATCATCATCAGCATCATCATCATCATCACCCTCATCAGAAACAACATCATCATCATCATCCTCATCATCATCAGCATCATCATCCTAATCATCATCAGCATCCCCATCAGCATCATCACCATTATCATCATAATCGTCAACATCGTCATCATCCTCATCTACATCCGAATCCTCATCATCCTCATACAAATCCTAACCCTCATCCTCATACTTCTCCTCATCCTCGTCCACACTACCATCATCATCATCACCATCGTCATCATCATTATCATCACCACCATCACCATCATTATCGTCAACAGAAGCAGCATCACCGTCTTATCGTCAGTATCGTCATCATCGTCATCATCATAAACATCATCATGATCAACATGATCAACATCATCATCATCATCATCATCATCATCATCATCATCATCATCATCACCATCATCACCATCATCCCGCCCTCTCTCCGCTTCGCCCCTCGTCCTCCTCCTCCTCCGCAGCAGCTCGCTCGTCCGAGCCGGCCTTGCCGGCGGGGACGAGAGAGAGAGAGAGAAAGAGAGAGAGAGAGAGAGGGAGAGAGAGAAAGAGACAGGGATAGAGAGAGAGAGAGAGAGAAAAAAACAAACAGAAAGAGAGAGAGAGAGAGGGAGAGAGAAAGACAGACCACCCGTACGCATAAGGACGCACGATAGGGATGCGTAAGGGCCTTCGGAACGCCATGCCGACACCTTGCAAGGCGGGGGCGGCCAGCGAGAGCGGCGGGACGGGCCGAAGGGGAGGGATGCAAGGGGAGCCTTGGAGAGAGAGAGAGAGAGAGAGAGAGAGGAGAGAGAGAGAGAGAGAACGAGAGAGAGGAGGGAGAGAGAGAGAGAGAGAGAGAGGGAGAGAGAACGAGAGAGGAGGCCGAGACACAGAGAGAGAGAGAGAGGAGAGAGAACGAGAGAGAGAGAGAGAGAGAAAACGATTGAGAGGAGGGAGAGGGAGAGAGGAGAGAGGGAGGGAGAGGGAGAGAGAGAGAGAACGAGAGAGACGGCGCGCAGGCGTCGCCCACACGCGGTGCATGCCGTCTTCTATGGTGTGCTTGACCTGCCACGCCGGGGCGGCTGGGAAGGGGGCCGCGGTCGTCGCTCCCAGGCACGAAAAAGAAGGACGGGGAGGTGTTGCGGACAGCGACGGCAGGACGAGGAAGCAGACGAGGGATTCGGCGGAGGGGGATTGGGGACGAGGAGAATGAGGCTGACGATGGTGATGCCGGTGAGCTTTTTCGGGTCGGGCAAAAGGGGGGGATAGCACAGGGGGGGGTTGAGAATCAGCTCACGGAGCTGATTTTCCCGGCGCCTCCCGGCGCCGGAGGCGGCTATGTATCGAGGAATGGGCCCCTCGGTGAGGCCGAAACCAGCTGCATGCAGCAAATTTCGTAACCCCCCCTTTCCCAATCCCCCCCTTTCGTCCAGCCCGATTTTGGGGGGGGGACGAAGGGGAGAGACATGGAGGAGCAAGGAGGGCTGAAACACCCAGGAAGCCAAGCTCCAGCTGTCTGAGTTCTTGGCCGCACATCGGGAATGGGCGTTTTTGAAAGACTAACGCTTTCGATTGGTGCGCGTCGCTTCCAGCACCGCTGGCCAAACAGCGCGATGACTTCCGTGGGAGAGGGAGGACGACGCATGGCTGCTGAGATTCTCTGTGGGGCATGAGGGGGTGCACTGCCCGCTCCTGTTCTCGAGCCCCCAGGTTCACATGAGTGGCCTCACACGTGCACGCACGAGCGCGAGGCCGAAAGGGAGCGGGAGGAAATCTCGACCCCCCAGTATGGCCACACCTGTCCAGCCCCCGCTGGGCCTGGCAGGCCCCCAGTTCGCGGGCGCACTTTCCCGCCTTCTCAGCTCCCCCTCGCCCGTCGAGGCCTTCGGTGCCTCCTGCTTCCCTCTTCATGTTTTTGTTGCTTCATCATCCCCTGCATCCTCTCGAGCCAATCGATCCAAGGGAGTACAGCCTGGTGTGCATACCTCGGTCCGACGACGATGACCACCCCCCTCACGGCTCCTGGCTCCCACGTCCGCCCCTGTTCCTCCTCCTCCTCATCTTCTTCTTCCTCCTCCTCCCCCCCCCCTCCTGCTCCTCCTCCTCCCCCTCCTCCCTCTTCCTCCCCCTCCTCCTCCTCCTCTCCTCCTCCTCCTCCTCCTCCTCCTCCTCCTCCTCCTCCTCCTCCTCCTCCTCCTCCTGGCTGGCGCGGGGCTGGCGGGGGGCCGGCCGCCCGCTGCTTTTCCAGTGCTGCTCGACGACCCGAAGGCCATGCTCTACGAGAGCCGGGCCGGCTTGCTGCACTCCGCGGTGCCCGCGACGGTGGCGCCGGTGCCCCAAGGGGCGAAGCTCGCCGAGCAGGTCGTGGAGCTCGTGCAGAGGAGGTCGCCGAGGCGCCGCAGGCCCTGTGCGCGACGAGGCTCGGGCGCGTCGAGCCCGTGTGCTCCGAGCCGGGCGACTTCGACGGCGAGAGCTGCGACGTGGCCGACGTGCCCGGCAACTCCGACGGGGAGGGCCTCGACGGCAGGCGCAGCCCGAGGCGCGCAAAGGGTGGCCCTTCGGAGGCCGCTGCGCCACCTTCGTACGGCACCCTGCGGGGCGAGAAGCTGCAGGACCGGGTCGAGGACGGTGGCAAAGCGCAGATCGAGACGCAATTCGAGGCTAGTACAGGGGCTCGAACACACACACACACACACACACACACACACACACACACACACACACACACACACACACACACACACACGCACACACACACACACGCATTAATAGGCAAGAATCTCAGGATTCTCCATCTTTTCAATATTTTCAGGGTTCCCGTCTTCGCCCCCCCCCACTTCCCCTGTTTTCCCATCTTGTCCTGGGAGTCGACGACTACTTGTGTCTGTGTGGTTTTTCCTCCCGAGTGCTATGGCACCCTGCGGGGCGAGAAGCTGCAGGACCAGGTTGAGGACAGGGGCAAGGCGCAGACCGAGGCGCAACTCGAGGCGGAGGGCGGCCTCCGGAACCGCTGTCCCGTCTTCTGCTGACACACTGCTGGACGGGAGGCTGCAGGACGAGTTCGAAGACGGTGGCGGGGTAGAGCATGAGAAACAGCAAGAGGCGAGGTTCGGCGACGGGCACCACTGCTGCACCGCGTACAGCACCCTGCAGGAGCAGGCAGCCGCAGGAGCAGCTCGACGGGGTGGGCCGGCAGAGTGTCGGGAAGGCCGAGCTCCTTTTAGGTGCAGGCCGACGAGGGGCCGGTCTGCACCATGACTCGGAGCCTCTCACGCGGCGGCGGCAGGCAACGTCCGACGACCATTTCTCGGCTACACGCAAGAGTGACCCTGGGTAAGAGTGACCTTCGGTGCGCAGCTTTTTGGGGGCCACGGGGAGACCAAACCTGGGCGCGCAAGCCGCTGCTACCGCTTCGTTGTCAGCCATCTGAGGGCCCATCTGTGCCCGCACCAAAGGTCACTCCGGCGAAAGGTCACTCCTACGCCCAGTCGAGTTTCGACGGGAGCGGGCACTCGCTGAACGACCGGGCCGATGGGATCGAGGAGGTGCTGCGGGCGCTCGCTCTGGGCACCGGGGCGGGCGCGCCACTGGCGCAGCCCTCGTGGCCTGCACTATATGCCCGCTGCGGCTGGACCTTCGCAGAGAGAGAGAGCGCCGTGCGGGGGTTTCGCGGCCCCTGCGCCCCCATGGGGCCTCGGGCCCTCCTGGCTTTCTTTCGGTCGGGCCTGTGCTCCTGCAGGCGGATTTTTTGGACGAAACGTGCAACAGAGCCCACAAGAATACTCGAGAAACGACTCAGAACCGATCGAAGCAGCGTGCCCAGACCATTTCTTGACTCTTGTCGGATATGCCCGACTTGATCCTGGCTCTCCTGGGCCAGGGCGTCTCTCGGGGGGGGCGGGGGCCAGTTGCTGCAGGAGGGCCCCTGGGCTCGGCGCCCGGACTTCTCACCGCACCGACCTCGCCGACGTGCTGCAGCGGATTTTTGTTGCGTGGACCTCTGCCTATGCACAACCCCGAAACGGCGGATGGCACACGACGTGAGCTTCGCGTGCATGCGCTTTACTTAATCTTATGCACGGCGAAGTCCGGAGCGACATTCTCCAGGACACTTCGAGAGGCCCACCCTGCCGTTTGCCGAGCGAAGTCCGCTCTGCGGTGCTGGCGCCGTGAGACTTCGGGCTCTCCGGGCCGCGGGCCGCCCAGGCACGAGCCGTGCCCCGCGGGGGGTGGGAGCGCGGGGGCCCTCCGGGGTGCCTCCTGGGCCTCGGGAGCGCGCCGCGCTCCCGTCGGCGCTCTCTCTCTCTCTCTCTCTCTCTTGGGGCTCTGAGCCGCGCCCCGTCGCGCGTCTCCGCTCCCCTTCCGCAGGGGGCCCCCCCGGCCCCACGGTGCGGGGATAGGGAACACGCACACCCCTCTCCGACAACGCATGAGCCGATATGGGGTCCAGCTTTCTGGAGCTCCAGGCCCACCATGACACGCGTCGCCGGATCGAGAAACAGCGGCGCAGCAGGAAGGGTTGGGTCGGGCGGTCACATGTCAGACATGGCGCGAACGCACCTTCCCTCCATTCATTCCTCCCCGCTCACCCCTCGCTCCTTGGCGGGGCGCAGATGGGGGCAAGGGGGGGAACGGCTTCTTAGACGGAGGCTGCTTCGTGGAAGGCGCGGGCCTTACATCTGTAGACAAGGCCCACGCCTGCTAGGAAGCAGGGGGGCTTCTAAGAAGCCTCCCACTCTCCCCCGTCTGCTCGTGCCCGATCCTTTTCCTCCCCCGTCCTGTCCCACCCCCATTCTCTTCCCCCTCCCACCTCCCCTCCATGGCGACGTCTCGCATAGCTGGAAATCTCGGAGGATGAGATGCTGCGCGCTACATCTCCAAACACCCCATCGCCGGCAACACCATCTGACATGGACGTCACTGGCCCCTGAGTGACGTGCCTCCTTCTCCCTTCCCTTCAGGAGGAGGAGAAGGAGAAGGAGAAGGAGGAGGAGGAGGAGGAGGAGGAGGAGGAGGGAGGAGAGGGGAGGAGGAGGAGGAGGAGCGGGAGGAGGGGGAGGCGGAAGGAGCAGGAGGGGGAGGAGAAGGAGGAGGGGGAGAGAAGGAGCAGGAGGGGAGGAGAAGGAGCAGGAGGGGGAGGAGAGGAGGGGAGGGGGGGGGAGGAGGAGGAGGATGAGGATGAGGAGAGGAGGGAGGAGAGGAGGGGAGGAGGAGGAGGAGGAGGCCCCACCCCCGCCCAGACCTCCTCTCTTCAGCCTCTTCTGCTGCTCCTGCCCCCCCCCCGCCGGGCCCTCCTCTTTTCGAGCACTGCTGCGTCCATAGCTAGTCGCCCGCGGCCGCGGGACGAGGAGTAGCAGCATGGAGCAGGGACCGACCGCCCCAGCATCCCTACAGGCCCACCACGACATGCTCTCAGAATGTAAAAAAAAACGCTATTCAAACGAAGCAAGGGCACGATAGCATGACGCAGATGGGTTGCAACGGGACGGTCTCAGCGAGAAGTGTTCTAAGCACCTCTTGCGCAGACCTCCAAGGGTTCTCGGAACACTCTTCGGTGGGCTTATGGGCGGGCCGGCACGCTTCGCCACTGCTTGACAGAAGGGGAACTCCCCACTGGCGGCGCTCAGAGGAGGGGGTGGCTTGTGGGCCGGCCGGCGGCCCTGCAAGAGGGCAGGGACGCTTCCCTGAGGGGCCTGGAGGCCTCCAAGAAGGCGTCTCCGGTGCGGGCACGATTCGTATCCATATCCACTGCGTCTTGGACCTTCTGGGGAGGGGCGCCAACATTGCCGCGGCGCAGTGGATATGGGTAAACGTCTGACCTCTAGGGGCGAAATTGTTTCATCCATATCCACGCCGCTTCTGGCATCCGAGGAAGCGAGCCCGAAACTCCAAGGCGCAGCGGGTATGAATCATCATCTTGCCCGCATCCGCCGCGTCGATGGGCGAGCAACGGGTACCAGTGCCGCAACTCCACGGGCCTCTCCCGCAAGCGCGCCCTGGCCAGAATCCCCGAGGCAAACCCTGCCGTGAAGAAAGGATGGCCCCCTCCAGGAGACCCAAGGGGG